AGTAAGTGGAGGGGGCTGGGGGCTGGGGGCTGGGGAGTCAGTGTCTAAGGGGCACAGAGCTTCCGTCTGGGGAGATGAGGAAGTTCTGGAGATGGACGTGATGATGGCTAGACAGCAGTGTGAATGCTTAATGCCCCTGATCTATGCACCTGAATGTGGTTCAGATGCGAAGTTTTATGTGTGTTTTACCATAATGAAAAAAAATATTTTGTTTGTTTGTTTAAGGTAGGGTCTCACTTTTTAGTTCAGATGGCCTGGAACTCATTATGCAGCCTAGACTAGCCTTGAACTTGTGATGATCTTCCTGCCTCAGCCTCCCAAGTGCTGGGATTTACAAGTGTTTGCCACCATGCCCGGTGGAAAAATACTTTCAAGCAGAGATTATTTATGATTTTTCTGAGTGAGCCTAGAGTAACCCTGAGGGGCCTTCAGAGTGGAAAAGTGAGGCCTAGAGTTCAGAGTTACGGTGGTGGGATGAGGGAGGGACTCAATTGCCATTGCCAACTCTGAAGTTAGGAGGGGGCAAGGTCCTGGAGGATCCAGAAACTAGAGGCAGGAGGATGCAGATTCTACAGTGGGACGTGCAGGAGGAGGGCAGCCTGGCCACACCACTGCCATGTCTTTAGCCCAGGGAGTGCCTAGAACCGTGAAGGGCATTGTGTTGCTTTAGGCCACCAAGCCTGTGGTGACTTGTCACAGCAGCCACAGCAAAACAGTCCATCCTTCATCAGCAGGTCGTCAGCACCGTCTGTGTCTTCTGACCAGAGTACTCCTCCCTCTTCTGTGTCACCGCTGGGTGCCCAGAAGGTGCTTTGCTTGATAAATGACGCAGACCCGATGGAGTGAGGAGTCAGGTGACCCACGCTTGCTTAGAGATTATTTGTGTGATATGTGTCCCCAACTTGTGTGGTGCAGGCGGTGGAACCCAGGACCTCATGCATGCTGGTCAAGTGCTCTAACACCGAGCCACACACCCAGACTCCCACCCTAAGTTTTAATTGGCCAGTTAAAAAATTGTATATATTAATGACCTATAATGTGTTTTTTCTGTTTTTTGGATTTCTGAGGCAGTTTTGCTGTGTACCTCAGGCTGGCCTGGAACTCACAGCTGATCTCCTGCCTCAGCCTCCCAAAAGCTGGAAATACAGGTGTGTGCCACTCCACCCAGCTTGTAACATGTTTTCATACATGTATACATTGTAGAATGGCCAGACTGAGCTAATTATCTCACAGTTACTATTTCTTTGTGGTAAGGACATTTAAATAAACTCTTAGCTCCAGGCTCGTCTTGAACTCATAGTGATCCTCCTGTCTCAGCCTCCCCAGTGCTGGGATTACAGGTGTGCGCCACCACGCCCGGCTTGAGTTTATTGGGGAAATAGGGTCTTGCTCTGTAGTACAGACTGACCTTGAACTCATGATCCTCCTGGGATTATAGGTGTGTACCACTGTGATTTAATTCTTAGCAATGTTTATGTGCCCGCCCCCCGCACCCCCCCATGTGTGTGTGTGAATTTTATTATTTCTTTATTTGTTTGTTTATTTTTGTTTTTTGTTTTTTGTTTTTGGTGACATGGTCTTGCTATGTACCTCAGGCTGGCTTGAACCTGTAGCAGTCCTCCTTCCTCAGCCTCCCAAGTGCTGGGATTATAGGCGTTACCATATATTGTTGCATGTGCAATAATATATTGACTTGGGTGCAACATATTGTTATTAGCTATAGTAAACATGATATATAACAGATCTTATTTGTTTTGGTTTTTGAGATGCGATTTCACTATCTAGGCTAGGTTGGCCTTTGAACTTAAGCTTCTCTTCCTTAACCTCCTGAGTAGCTGGGGTTGCAGGTATGTGCTGCTATGCCTGATTTCTCCTTTTTTAAGTTGAATAATATTCCACAGTCTGTACAGGCCACATTTTGCTTAATTCTTCATCTGCAGATAAACACTTGGGTCCCTTCCACCTGAATAGTGCTATGAACGTGGGTGTGCAGGTATCTCTTCAAGACCCTTCTGTCATTTCTTTCAGGTATATTTGCAGGTATAAACTTGGTAGATCATAGAGAGTACTCTTTTTACTTTTTTGATGAATTGCCATCTCTTCTGTAGTGACTACCATTTTGTATTTCCACTAGGACTGTACAAGGGTTCCACATCCTTGCCAACACCTGTTAGTTTCTGTTTTTTTGGTGGTTGTTTTATTTTTGTCTTTTGTTTTGATAGTAGCCATGATAATAAATGGTCATATGCTATATTGCAATCAAACTTTTTATTTTAAGGTAACTGTAGACTCACATGCAGTTGTTAGAAGTAACACAGAGAGATCCTGTGTCCATTCCCACTTACCTGCCCATAACGTCAGGAAAAACAGACATTGTCACAGCCCAGATGTGGGCAGAGAAGCAGAACAAATCCAGGGCTCTGTCTCCACCAGGACCATCGAGGGCCTGACTTCTGTCCCGCCACAGTTCTGCCTCAGCCTCTGCCAATTACTAGCCCGTTCTCCATTTCTGTAATTGTGTTGTTTGAGAATGTTCTGTGAGTAGAATGTAGCAGTTTGTGACCTTTTGGACCGGCACAGTTTTCTGGAGCTCCGGTCAGTGTTGGTTTGACCATTCACCTGTTGGAGGTCCTCTCAGCTCTTTCAAACTTTTGGCTGCTAAAAAATAAAGCTGCTGTAAACATTCTTGTACAGGTTTTTTTGTGTGGACTTATTTTTGTTCTTCTGAGATAAATGCCCTGGAGTGCAATTGCTGGGTTCTGTGCTAGTTTGCACATTTATAAGAAACTTCCTAAGACTTTTCCACAAAGGCTGTTATATTCTGTATTTCTGCCCACAGTGTGTGAATCATCAAATTTTCCTATATTTTTGCTATCTGGCATTGTCACTTTTTTATTATAGTCCTTGCGATGGGTGTGTATGTATCTCATGTTTTACTTTTTGGATCACTAAAGGTTAATGGTTTTGAACATCTTTCTGTGTGTTTGCTTGCCATCTGTCTGTACTCTTCAGTGAAATGTCTATTCAGGTATCTGGCTGCTTCTAATTGGATTATTTGTTCTTGTTTCTGTTTTGTACTGTTGAGCTTTGAGGGTTCTTTTTATGTTCCAGGATCTTTTATAGAGCAAGCATTTGAAATCCATTCCTCAGCCAGGTGTGGTGGTGTATGCCTGTAAGCTCAGCATTCTGGGAGGCTGTGGGCAGGAAATAGAGACAATAATAGAAATCTCCAGATCTTTCTTTTTCATTATTCTACTGAGCTATGCCCCTAACCCCAGCATTTTAAATTTCTTTTTCATTGTGCTGGGTTGGCATTCCATCCAAGTACATATTCTACTGAGCTATGCCCCTAACCCCAGCATCTTAAAATTTTTTTTTTTTTTGGTACCGGGGATTGAACCTCTGGTCCTTGTGCTTGCAATGCAGGTGGCAGAACCACTGAGCTAAATCCCGGCCCAGCATTTTAAATTTTGATGAAGTCTTAATTTATAACTTTTCCCTTTTCTTTGGAGTGTGATTTAGCATCTGAGAACCGTCTGCCAAGCCCTCGATCCTAAAGGTATTCTATCTCCCTTCCCTTCCCCCACATCCTCCCTCCTCTTCACTTTTTCCCTCCCATCTTTCTTGTAGGAGGAATGGAACCTAGGGCCTTATGTGTGCTAGGCAAGTGCTGTGCTACTGATCTATACCTTCAGCCCTCTCTTGTTGTTTTGCTTCATTTTATAGTTTTACATTTAAGCCTGAAACCCTTTTGGGGTTAATTTTGAGCAAAGTATGAGGCTTGAGTCAAGCTTATGCTGTGCTCTGTTGCTGCCCAGTGCCTCTGGAACTGTTTATTGAAAAAGCCACCTTTTTTTCATTGAGTTGCCTCTGCACCTTCATCAAAGGTATTGTGTGTGGGTCTATTTCTGGATTCTCTATTCTGTTCCAATGACCTAATTATCTCTTCCACCACCACGTAGGCTTGCTTATGTTTTGAAATCAGATGAACTGATTCTTCCTACTTCAGTCTTCTCTTTCAAAATTATTTTTTCTATATAGTTTCTTTCTCAAAGAAATTTTAGAATTGTTTGTATCTACAAAAAAATTCTTTCTGGGATTTTGATAGGAAATTTGTTGAACCTGTGTGCCAGCTTGAGGAGAACAGATACCTTCGCCATGTGACGTCTCCCATCCATACACATATTTCTCTTCATGTATGTTGATCATTCATTTATTTCATCAAAACTGTTTGGTCTGTATAAGCCTTGGGTGTGTCATTTTAGATCTACGCCTGAGTAGTTCTCAGCTCTAATAGGTGGCATAGTATTTTTCAGTTTCCACATATTCATTGCTAATGTTTAGAACTGCATTTGATTTGTGTACCTTTATCTTGTATACTGAAACCTTGCCAGTTATTAGTTTCTCTATAG